TCACAAGGATGCACTCCTATGTTTTCTTCTGAGTTTTATAGTTTTATCTTACATTGACACATATGGTCCACTTGGACTTTTGTGACTGATGTAAGATGGGAATCTAACTTCATTCCTTTTCATGTGCATATCCAGGTGTCCCTGCTCCATTTGTTGAAAATCCATTAATTTTCTTGTCATCCTTGTCAAAAATCAATTGATCATGAATGTGGGGGTTTATTTCTGGGCTTTCAATTCTATTTCATTGTTCTATATTTATCCTTATGCTGATACTATACTGTTTTGATCACTGTAGCTTGGTAGTAAGTTTTGAAATCAAGAAATGTGAGCCCTCTAATTTTGTGTTCTTGGAAAAAATTTTTCACCATTCTGGGTCACTTGCATTTCCTTATAAATTTTAGGATCATCTTGCTGATTTCTGCAAAGAAGCCAGGTTAATTTTGATAGGGATTGTGTAGAATTGGTAGGTCAATTTGGGAAATATTGCCATCTTAACAATATTAAGTTTCCCAGTCCTTGCAGATAGGCTGTCTTTTTCATTTGCTTAGGTCTTTAATTTCTTTCAAAAATTTTTAGTTTTCAGAGTACAAGTTTTATATTTTTTTGTTAAGCTTATTGCTAAGCATTTTATTCTTTTTCATGCTATCATAAATGGAATTTATTTCTTAATCACATTTACAGATTGTTTATTAAAGTATACATAAAAACTTATTTTTTTATATTGATCTTGTATCATGTAACCTATTAAACTTGTTCATTAATTTTAATAGTATTTTTATGCATTTCTCAGGATTTTCTATATACAAGATCATGCCATCTGCAAATAGAGATAGTTTTGCTTCTTCCTTTCCAGTCTGGATGTCTTTTGTTTACTTTTCTTTCTCCTAATTGACCATTAGAATCGCCAATAAAATATAGAAGTAGCAACAGCAGACATGTTGTTTTGTTCCTTATCTTGGGGCAAAAGTATTCAGTTTTTCACCATTAATCTTGGTGTTAGTTGTGGGTTTTTTGCAGGTGGCCTTTATTAGGTTGAGGAAGTTCCTTTCTATTGCTAGTTTGTTGAGTGTTTTTATCATGAGAGGTTATTAGATTTGTCAAGTGTTTTTGCCACATCTGTTGAGATCATCATGTGGTTTTGTCCATTTTATTGATATAGTGTATTACATTAATTGATTTTCAGATATTAATCTTGGATTTTCTGGGTAAATCCCACTTTGTTATTTGTATAATACTATTTATCTGTTGCTAATATTTTACTGAGGATTGTTGTATCTATATTTATTAGATAGATTGTCTGTAGTTCTCTTTTCTCATGATGACTTTGTGTGGTTTTGAGGAAGAATTTGTGAAAGATTGCTGTGTTTCTTATTTAAACATTTGATAGATTTCACCAAACTATTTGGGCCTGGACTTTTCTTTGGAGTAAATTTATTACTAACTCAACCTCTTGTAATAGGTCTATTCATATCTCTTGTTTTTTCCTGAATCAATTTTGGTAGTTTGTATGTTTCCAGGAATTTGTTCATTTCATCTAGATTATCTAATTTGTTGGTATTCAGTTCACATTATTTCCTTATAACCCCATCCTTTTTTTCCTCTGTACATTCAATAGTGGTGTCCCTTCTTCCATTTCTGACTTTAGTAATTTAAGTCTTCTCTCTTATTTCTGGATCAGTCTAGCTAAAGGTTTTTCAATTTTGTTGATCTTTTTAAAGCACTGTTAAAAGCATTTAAACAAGGAGGCCATTAGACAGAGGTGACTCTAATGCCGGTAGTTTACATAAGCAAACCAAAACTTAAGCCAGAGGCAGTACACTCAAATCCAAGAAATTTAAACTAGAGAACAACTAATCACAGCCAATGAGGCTTCCCCAAATAAGGCAAGTGCTTAAGCTATAACCAAAGAATTGCTTTGTTTTGCTTTGCTTCAGTATCTTCTCTATAAAAACTTTGCTCCTATCTCCTGTTAGTGGAGGGCTTCTAACCACCTTTGGTTTGGCACTGCCCAATTCAAATCAGTGTATGCTCAAATAAACTCTTGCAAAATTTTATGTGCTTCAGTTTGCCTTTTACCAGAATGAATTTTTGTTTAGTTGATTTTTCTTTATTATTTTTGACTTTCTACTTCATTAATTTCTGCTCTTTATTATTTTCTTCCTTCTTCCTTTGGGTTTTACTTTGTCCTTCTACTTGCAAGTGTCTTAATGTGGAAGATTAGTGTATTGATTTGAGACCTTATTTTTTTTAATGTAGACATTTATAGCTATACATTTTCCTCAAAATACTACTTTTACTGCATCCTGTGATAAATTTGGTATATAATGTTTTCATTTGTTATATTCACTTATTTCAAGGTATTTTACAATTTCTATTATGATTTTCCCTGACCCACTGTTATTAGTAGTTTCTTGTTTAATTCCCACATTGTGAATTTCCAAATTTTTTGTCGTTTATTTCTAATTTCATTCCATTGTCAGGAAACATATGTTGTGTAATTTTAATATACACATGTATATATAAGTATACACACGTATATATTAAGCAATCTCTACACCAAACGGGCTTTTACCTACAACCTTGAGATCAAGAGTCACACATTCCACTGACTGAGCCAGCCAGGCGAGCTTACACTTTTATATGTTGAAGCTTGTTTTATTGCCCGCATATGGTCTATCCTGGAGAATGTTCTGTGTGTTCAAGAAGAATGTGCGTTCTTTTTTTTTTAAACACAATTCTCTCTTTAAAGAGTAGTTTTTTAAGATTTTATTTATTTGAGAGAGAGAGAGCACGAGCATGAGCAGCGGGGAGGGGCAGAGGGAGAGAGAGAAGCAGACTCCCTGCTGAGCAGGGAGCCTGATGTGGGGCTCGATCCCAGGACCCCAGACCGTGACCTGAGCTGAAGGCAGATGTTCAACCGACTGAGCCACCCAGGTGCCCTGAATGTGCACTCTTGTTGGACGGGGTTCTACAAATGTCTGCTAGGTCTAGATGATTTAGAATGTTATTTTAGAAGATTAAGTTGATCTGCTTATTTGTTCTATCCATTGTTGAAAGTTAGGGTATTTAAGTCTTCAACTATTATTTTTGAACTGTCTGTTTCTCTCTTCATTTCTTCCAAGTTTTGTTCAGGTATTTTGGCACCCTGTATATATTTATAGTTGTTTATATGTACTTGATTGATTGATCCTTTTATCATTATAGAATGTTCCTCTTATTTTTATTAACATTTTTTAACATTCTATTTTATGTGCTATTAGTATGGCCACTCCATATTTATTATGGTTGTCATTTGCATGATACTTTCCCTTTTCCCTTCCTTTTACTTTTGCCCTATTTGTATTTTTGTATCTATATTGTGTCTCTTACAGACAACATATAGTTGGATTCTGGTTTTTTATGTAGTCTCTTAATCTACCTTTGGTTATTTAACCCATTCACATTTAATGTTATTAGTAACATGGAGTAACAGCTATGTTTTGTCTTGTTATTTTCTATATATCTTATGTCCTTTTTGTTCTGTACATTTTTTTATGGATTTCTTTTGAATTAAGTGAATATTTCCTAGTATAACATTGTAATTTATTTAATTAATTTTTCTCTATTTTTTGAAGTTATTCCCAGTTACAATACAGCTTAAAATTTATACTAACGTAATTGCAGTGAGATATAGAAACATAATTCTTGAATAATGCTATTCTTTTTTTGTGCTATTACTGTTATACATGTACCTCTATAGGTGTCACAAACCCAGTAGTACATTGTTATTATTTATATAATTTTATGTCTTTAAAGAAGGTGAGAGGAGAGAAAAACGTATATTTGTAGAGCTTGTTACATTAAAATTCTTATGATTTGTGTTTTTCTTTATTTGTTCCTTGGATTTTAGTTACTATCTCTTGTCATTTCCTTGCTCCAATACAGCTTTGCTCTGTTAACTCTAAACAGAGCAAAGAGAAATTTTATTTAAGTAAAAAATGAGTTTATGCAGGAATAGCAGAGGAATTACAGTTTTTTTGCATAGTCTCTATTGATATATCTTCATGTTTTCTCATTCTTCCGCCAGCTTGCTTCTAATGTTGAGCTCTATAGTGAATTATTTATTTCAGTTGTTATACTCTTCACCTTCAGAATTTCCAATTTTTAATATTTATTTATTTATTTATGTATGTATTTATTTATTTATTTGACAGAGAGAAACACAGCGAGAGAGGGAACACAAGCAGGGGGAGTGGGAGGAGGGAGAAGCAGGCCTCCTGCTGAACAGGGAGCCTGATACGGGGCTCGATCCCAGGACCCCGGGATCATGACCCGAGCTGAAGGCAGGTGCTTAATGACTGAGCCACCCAGGCGCCCTATCCATTTGTTTTTTTTTAATCCTTTCCTTTTATTTTTATTCTCTACTTGATGAGACATTGTCATCATACCTTCCTTTACTTCATTTAGCATGTTTTTCTTTTGTTCTTTGACCATATTTGTCTACTTTGAAGTCTTTGACATTCCCAACATCTGGAATCTCTCAAAGGTGTTTCTTTTGCAAGCTTTTCCCCTTGTGTTTGGGATACACATTCCTGTTTCTTTTCATGTCTCATAGTTTTTATTGTTGTTGTTGAACCCTGGATATTTTAGATAATATAGCAGTGGTGAATATTGATTCCTCCTTTCCTTCCCTCTGTTTTCTCTTCTCCTGATCCTGATTCTTTCTTGGAAATCAGAAAATACTTAAGATTGTACTTAGTGTCAGAATGTTGAGATTAAAAGTGTCTGTGATTAAAGTTCTTGGATTCTGTAAAATCCAGTTCGTATGCTCAGTGGTCTCTTTTCTTTTGGTTATTGAGTTGTTTGTGAATAAATGAAATTTCCATATAAATGAGATATTATCACATTTAGAAATTTTTCCAAATGCTGAGGCCTTTGTTTTTAATATAACGTCCACTTTTATAGTTTTATTCCTTTTGTAATGCAATAATTTAGCTAATGAATGATGCTTCTTCCCTTAGGTTACACCTATGTTTGAGGATTGGACTACTATTGATTGGTATCAATTTTTCTGTTTATGGGAGAAATTGCCAACTTCTATGAAACGGGTGGCAGAGCTAGTGGGAGTTGAAGAAGGGTTCTTGGCTCGCTGTGTGAAAGGAAAAGTCATAGCGAGAACTGAGAGACAGCAACGCCAGATGGCCATCCATAAAAGGTAAATACCAAGGAGCCTTGACTGTCCAGTATTTAAAACAGTTTTGGATATATAGTAGTTGTTCAGTTTACTATAGTCACTTTCATTATCATCAAAATCAAAGTTTTAGGGGCGCCTGAGTGGCTCAGTCAGTTAAGCATCTGCCTTTGGCTCATGTCATGATCCCAGGGTCCTGGGATGGAGCCCTGCATCGGGCTCTCTGCTCGGTGGGGAGTCTGCTTCTCCTTCTCCCTCTGCCTCTCTACCCGGCTTGTGCTCTCTCACACTCACTCTCTCAAATAAGTAAAATCTTAACAAAAAAATAAAGTCAAAGTTTTGGTTGAGTAAATTGTCACTTTCTTGTGTTTACTGAATTTATCAATATTTCAATTTCTCCCTTAATGCTTGTTTAGAAGCCATTATAGATGAAGACCTTTTAAAGTAGAACATTTAAGGGACACCTGGGTGTTTTAGTCGCTTAGGCATCTGCCTTCAGCTTAGGTCATGATCCCAGCATTCTGGGATCACACCCAACGTCAGGCTCTCTGCTCAGCGGGGAGCCTGCTTCTCCCTCTCCCTCTGCCTGCCTCTCTCCGTGCTTGTGCTCTCTCTTTCTCTCTCATTCTGTCAAAATAAATAAAAATAAAATCTTAAAAAAATAAAGTAGAACATTTATTTATTTCCTTTCCTTAAAGATTTGAATTAGAACTGACAACTTAGCATAGCTTCATTTGAGGATATGCTTTGTATCATTATTATAAATGATTGATTATTACCATGGAAGAGCAAATTAAAAGATTCAGATGGGGAAATTGAATCACTGAGCTTCTTTGAAATATAATAAAATTATTTTCTTAATGGTAGTCTCTAGTAAATTATTTATAACATAAATGTAAATTTTATAAGGATTTATATACTTGGATTATTTGTGGCACTATTGCTGTTCAAGTCAATACTGGTTTTTCAAATTCTCTCATTTTTTTGATGAATGAGTAGGTGATCATATAACTGTGTATCAAATGTTCTTTTAATTTTTTGTGCCATTCTATTTATTGAACCAAGTCTTATTTCTTGAAATTAGTTAGCAATATTAAAATATGGAGGAGATCTTTTTGTTATATAAATATTAGTTCCTTGCTTTGCTATAGTACTAATGTATGTCAGAATTTATTTGATAAACATTGAGCTCAGTCTTTGTCCACTAATCCTATATCCTATTAGGCATCTTCTGAGTGTATAAATCCTCTCTTGCCTTTTTGCTTCTTTCTTGTTTCTCAGCATATGTTATATCTTCATTGTAGACATCTCTTACATACTTATGGTGATTTACTTTCCAGGTTTTTTACCAGTCTTGTGCTATTAGATTTAATCAGTGAAGTTCCCTTAAAGGAAATTAACCAGAAATATGGATGCAGTCGTGGACAGATTCAATCTTTACAACAGTCAGCTGCTGTTTATGCAGGTCAGTTAAACAAGGGTTTCCACATTTATTTGAGACTCTGTGGTTTGAGGTCAAGTTAAGATTACTTTTTTTTTCAAATTCCATTTTATTTTAGGCTTCTCTAAAAGTGAGGGGATCGTGGGAAGCCTAATTGTCATCATCAGAACACCTAAAACTGTGGCTTCTCTGGGTTCAGTTATCCTGCTCCAGAGGATTGGCAGCTAGCTGAGTGTCTGGACCTTAGTCCCCCTCTATTACTTAGCAACTGCTGACCATCCTTCCTTTCTGTTTGTTTTTTTTTTCCGTTTTCCATGTTACAGGAAGAAATAGACACTAATTTGTCAACAGTTTCCTTTATCTCATCAAGTTACTGATTAATATTTGTTATTGAGTAGGAGGATGGCAAATGGATAGGAATTTCTGGATTTCTCTTGGACTGTTCTAAATATCTCTTCTCTAGGGAAGCACTGGTCTCTCCTTAATAAAACTAAACTCCTGTCTCTAAGCTAGGCAAACAGTTCTGGGTCTGATTTTACCAAGAAATCCTCATAAGCCCTGGGCTGCTGGAGAGTGTATGGATTTATATGTGTGAAAGGTTTCATTGTGAAGGTGTGTGCATATGTGAGCATACCGAGGGAAAGATGGGAGGAGAAGGTCATAAGAAGGGAGAGACTCTTCAACTCATTGGCATGAAAGATCTCAAATTGCCTGTAGGGTGAATGTTCTCATAGGGAAGTGATTTTCTTAATGACTTGGCATTGGCTATTCTGCCTCTTTATTTCATGAGGGAATAGCTATTGCGCTAGGCAACATTTCCTTGAAGAAAATATCAATGGGGAGCTTCGCTTTTTGTACTCCTCTCAGCACTTGAACATTTAAATAAACTCTCTTATTTTTCTGTAGTTGAAAAAAGTCCCTCACCTGTTTTTAAGAATTCTCTCTTCCTTTAAAAAAAGGAAGGAAGAAAGAAAGAATGAGAGAGAGGAATAAAGTCGAGTGAGGGCTTTTTGTTTGTTTTGTGTTAACATGCTCTACCTCAATTGTTTCAAATATCAAGTTCATGATTAAGAATAGGTGACATTTAATGTGTTTAGCCCTTTTATTGACCATTTAGCTAGGCCCTTAACATGTGTCTACTATCCTGTTAACTTACACTTTGTGCCTCTTAAACTTTACAATTCTGCAAGTAAACAACACAACAAAACAAAAGTAAATCTAAAGAAATAGAGAATTATCTGTAAAGAATTTTAATTCACTAAACATTCTATGATTATTCTAGGGATGATTACAGTATTTTCCAACCGCCTGGGCTGGCACAACATGGAACTACTACTTTCTCAATTTCAGAAGCGTCTTACATTTGGCATCCAGAGGGAGCTGTGTGACCTGGTCCGGGTGTCCTTACTTAATGCACAGCGAGCCAGGTTCCTCTATGCTTCTGGCTTTCTTACTGTAGCAGATCTCGCCAGAGCAAATATTGCGGAGGTGGAGACCGTTCTGAAAAATGCTGCTCCCTTTAAGAGGTAAGAAAGCACCCCTCACCTAGTAGTTATTAAATGAAAGATCATTTTGTAAATAATAGATAGAAAATGTACTAAACTATTTTTTCTTAGATAATATCATGACATACATGGTATCAGTGGAAGAAAATGAGACTGTTTCTTCCCCCTTAGAATTACTGTCATTTCATGTGTGTATGTATAATATTTTTAAAATTGAAGTATAGGTGACACACAATGTTATATTAGTTTCAGCTGTACAGTATAGTGATTTGAAAAGTCCATATGTTATGCTCACTCAGCACAAGTGTAGCTACTATCTTTCACCATAAAATGCTATTAAATACCATTGACCATATTCCCTATGCTGTACATTTTATCCCCGTGACTTAATCATTCAATAACTGAAAGCCTCTATCTCTCACTCCCCTTCACTCATTTTGTCTGTTGCCCTACCCCTCCCCTCTGGCAACCATCAGTGTGTTCTCTGTATTTATGGGTCTATTTTTGCCTTTAGTTTGTTTTGCTTTTTAGATTCCACATCTAAGTGAAATCCTCTGGTATTTGTCTTTCTCAGTCTGACTTATATCACTTGGCATAATACCCTCTAGGTCTATCCATGTTGTCAAAAATGGCAAGATCTCATATTTTTTATGGCAGAGTAATATTCCATCATAGATAGATAGATATCAGATAGATATCATAGATCAATCGATTGATCTTTATATATTTGTTATCCATCATATATATATTATCACATCTATATCCCTTCATCTATCCATGGACACTTGGGTTGCTCCTGTATCTTGACTGTTGTAAATAATGCTGCGATAAACATAGAGGTGCACATATCTTTTTAAATTAGTGTTTTCATTTTCTTTAGGTCAATACCCGGCAGCAGAATTACTGGATTGTATGGTATTTTTATTTTAATTTTTTGAAAAACCTCCATGCTGTTTTCCACAGTGGCTGGTCCAATTTACGTTCCCACCAACAGTGCACAGGGGTTCTTTTTTCTCCACATCCTCACCAACACTTGTTATTTCTTGTCTTTTTGATTCTAGGTGTTCTGACAGGTGTGAGGTGATATCTCATTGTGGTTTGGATTTGATTTCCTCAGTGATTGGTGGTGTCAAGTAACTTTTCATGTGTCTGTTTGCCATCTATATATCTTCTTTGGAAAAATGTCTGTTTAGGTCCTCAGTTCATTTTTAAATGGAATATTTGGTTTTTTGGTGTTGAGTCATAGAAATTCTTTATACTGTTAATCTGTTATTAGGTATATCATTTGTGGATGTCTTCGCCCATTCAATAGGTGACCTTTTCATTTTGTTGAGTGTTTCATTCACTGTGCAAAAGCTTTTTATTTTGGTGTAGTCGCCAAAATTTATTTTTGCTTTTGTTTCTCTTGCTAGAGGAGACATATGTAGAAAAATGTTGCTAAGGCCAATGTCAAAGAAATTACTGCCTACATTTTCTTTTAGGAGTTTTATGGTTTTGGGTCTCACATTTAAGTCTTTAATCCATTTTGAGTTTATTTTCATATGGTGTAAGAAGTGATTCACTTTCATTCTTTTGCGCGTAGATGTCCAATTTCCACCACATCATTTATTGAAGAGACTGTCTTTTTCCCATTGCATATTCTTGCCTCCTTTGTCATAGATTAATTGACTAAATAAACATGGGTTTATTCCTGGACTCTGTATTCTGTTTCATTGATCTATATTTCTGCTTTTTTGTTTGTTTTTTGTTTTTTTAAATTTATTTATTTGACAGAGAGAGACACAGCGAGAGAGGGAACACAAGCAGGGGGAGTGGGAGAGGGAGAAGCAGGCTTCCTGCGGAGCAGGGAGCCCAATGCGGGGCTCGATCCCAGGACCTTGGGATCATGACCTGAGCCGAAGGTATACGCTTAACCATCTGAGCCACCCAGGCGCCCCTATATGTCTGTTTTTGTGCCAGTACCATACTATTTTGATTACTACAGCTTTGTAGTTTATCTTGAAATCTAGGACTGTGGTACCTCCAGCTTTGTTCTTCTTTCTCAAGATTGCTTTGGCTTTTAGGGTGTTTTGTGGTTCCATTCAAATTTTAGTAGTATTCTAGTTTTATGAAAAATCTCTTGCTATTTTGATAGGGATTGCATTCAATCTGTAGATTGTTTGGATAGTATGGACATTTTAATCAATATTAATTCTTCCAATCCATGAGCATGATATATCTTTCCATTTGTTTGTGCTGTCTTCAATTTCTTTCATTGGTGTTTTATAGTTTTCAGAGTACAAGTTTTTTGGTGCAGTTGTAAATGGTATTGTTTTCTTAATTTTGGTTTCTACTACATTGTTACTAGTATATAAACGCAACATATTTCTTTGTCTTATTTTGTATTTTGCAACTTTACTGAATTTATTCTAATAGCTTTTTGGTGGATCTTTAGGGTTTTTTATGTATAGTATCATATCATCTACAAATAGTGATAGTTTTACTTCTTCCTTGACAGTTTAGATGTCTTGTATTACTTTTTTGGTCTGATTGCTGTGGCTAGGCTTTCCAGCACTGTGTTGAATAAAAGTAGGGAGAGTGGACATTCTTGTCTTTTTCCTGATCTTAGGGGAAAGCTCTCAGTTTTTCACCATTGAGTATGTCAGCTGTGGATTTTTCACACATGACCTTTATTATGTCGAAGTATGTTCTCTCTAAATTTACTTTGTTGAGAGTTTTTATCATGAACTCATGTTGAATTTTGTCAAATGCTTCTTCTGTGTCTACGGAGATGATCATATGATATTTGTCCTTTGTTTTATTGATTCGACATATCATGTTGATTGATTTGTGAATATTGAATTAACACTCATCCCCAGAATAAATCCCATTCAGTTGTGGTGGATGATCCTTTTAATGTATCATTGAATGTTATTTGCTAATATTTTGTTGAGGATTTTTGCATCTATATTTATCAGAGGCATTGGCCTGTAAGTTTTTTTGTAGTGCCTTTAGTTTTGGTATCAGGGTAATGCTGGCTTTGTAGAATGTATTTGGAAGTTTTCCTTTCACTTCTCTTTTTTGGAATAGTTTGAGGAGAATAGGTATTAACTCTTCTTTAAATGTTTGGTAGAACTTGTCTGTGAAAGCCATTTGGTCAGGGACTTTCATTTGTTGGAGTTTTTTGATTACCAATTCAATTTCATTACTAGTAATTGGTATATTTAGCTGCTCTGCTTCTTCCTGATTCAGTTTGGGAAGGTTGTATGTTTCTAGGAATTTATCCATTTCTTCTAGGTTGTCCAATTTGTTGACATATAATTTTTTGCAATATTCTCTTACAATTCTTTGTATTTCTGTGGTGTTGGTTATTAATTTCCCTCTTTCATTTCTGATCTTATTTGTGTCCCCTCTTTTTTCTTGATGAGTCTGGCTAAAGGTTTATCAATTTTATCTTTTCAAAGAACCAGCTCTTGGTTTCCTTTATCTTTTCTATTGTTTTTTAAATCTCTATTTCATTTATTTCCACTCTGATCTTAATTTCCTTCCTTCTACTAACCTTGACCTTTTTCTAGTTTCTTTAGGTGTAAGTTTAGATTGTTTGAGATTTTTCTTGTTTCTTGAGGTCAGCCTGTATCGCTATGAATTTCTCTTAGAATTGTTTTCATTGTGTTCCAGAGATTTTGGATTGTTGTCTTTTCATTTTCATTTGTCTTCATGTATCTTTTGATTTCCTCTTTGATTTCTTCACTGGCCCATTGGGTGTTTAGTAGCATGCTGTTTAGCCTCCACATGTTTTTGTTTTTTCCAGTTTTTTTTTTCTTGTGATTGATTTCTAGTTTTATACTGTTGTGGTTAGAAGAGATGCTTGATATGATTTTAATCTTCTTAAATTTACTGGGACTTGTTTTATGGTCTAAAGTGTGAACTATCCTGGAGAATGTTCCATTTGCATTTGAACTGAATGCGTGTTCTGTTGTTTTTGTATGGAATGTTCTGCATGTATCTGTTAAGTATATCTGGTCTAATGTATCATTCAAAGCCACTGTTTCCTTCTTTTTCTGTCTGCATGATCTATCTGTTGATGTAAGTGGGGTGTTATAAACCTATACTATTATTGTATTACTGTCAATTTCTCTGTATATGCCTGTTAATATTTACTGTATATATTTAGATGCTTTAATATTGGGTGCATAGATATTTACAAATGTTATATCCTCTTGTTGGATTAACCTTGTTATCATTATATAATGCCCTTCTTTGTGTCTTATTATAGTCTTTGTTTAAAGTCTATTTTGTCTGATGTAAGTATTGCTACCCTGGCTTTTTTTTTTTTTTTTCACTTTTATTTGCATGGAATATCTTTTTCCATGCTTTCACTTAGTCTCTATATTTTTATAGGTCTGAAGTAAGTCTTTTGTAGGCAGCATAAAA